GTGTGTGTGTGGAGGGGTGTGTGTGTGGAGGGGTGTGTGTGTGTGTGGAGGGAGGTACCCAGGCGCCGGACGTGTGTGTTCGGGGAGCTGCGGCCGCGGCCGCTGAGCACACCACCGCTGTTGGGATAAGTGCTGGGGAGAGATGAGCTCCAAGAACCCAAGAACCCTCGTCTTGGGGGCGGGGAAGCGGGGTCAGCTGCCGAGGTCACGAAGGCGTGGCCAAAGTACTGCGGGTGAGCTGGTCTCCCAGGACTGAGTGGGAATGTGCCCCAGACAGAGCGGGGCGAGGGACGGCAGCTGTGTGCATGGACCCTGGGGAGCTGGGGGATCCGCCTGCAGAGCAGGGAGAAGCGCAGAGCACGGAGAAGCACGTTTTTTGTTTTTTGTTTTTTTGAGACAGAGTCTCACTTTGTTGCCCAGGCTAGAGTGAGTGCTGTGGCGTCAGCCTAGCTCACAGCAACCTCAAACTCTTGGGCTCAAGCGATCCTCCTGCCTCAGCCTCCCAAGTAGCTGGGACTCCAATTAGCCGTGGCCGGCTAATTTTTTCTATACATTTTTAGTTGGCCAGTTAATTTCTTTCTATTTTTAGTAGAGATGGGGGTCTCACTCTTGCTCAGGCTGGTTTCAAACTCCTGACCTTGAGCTATCCGCCTGTCTCAGCCTCCCAGAGTGCTAGGGTTACAGGGGTGAGGCACTACGCCCGGCCCGAGAGAAGCTAAATTCCTAATTTTGGGGGTTGCACATCTGTCCTTATCTTAAGGGTTTTGAGACAGTTCTTGGCTTTTGCTCAACCCTCCCTTAGGGAGTTTCTCAACCTCAGGAAAAGATTCTTGATAGCTTTGTCTTTCCTCAGCTTACTGTTAAAGCATATGGGATCTGCCTAGTTGAGATAAACTTGATCTTAACAGACAAGATAACCTTGAATTCTTTGTTTAGTTCTGTTCAAAGGCTCAATTTCAGGAAATAATACAGAGAGTATATATTCTATATATTTCTCTAGAATCTAGATCTGGGTCAGCAAACAACAGCCCATAGTCTAGCTGCCTGCTTTTGTAAATAAAGTTTTATTGGAGCACAGCCACGTCCACTGGTGTATGCAATGTGGCTGTTTGCCTTCCCCCTGCAGGGGCAGAGATGAGTGTGTAGCAGAGAGAAAGTTTGCCCCCTTCTGGTCTCCATCACCAGGTTCTTAACCTGAGTTCCACCTTCCCCTGCCTTCTGAGCACTCCAGAAATGGGCTTAAACTGACTGTGAAACCCCTGAGGTTTTATGCAAAACTGCATGCCCATGTGTGAACCACCTGGAGGAAGGACCCTGACTCATCAGATTCCAAAAGACACCCAAGACCTCCAAGTGGTCAGAAGTCATTGTTTTGAGGAGCTGAAATGTTAATTCCCTGGGCTCACCCGATCAGCAGTTCTCAAACTTTCTAATCTCAGGACCCCTATAATAATTGATTAGGACTCCAAAGATGTTTATGTGAGTAATCATTATCAATATTTACCATATTAGAAATTAAAGTAGAAAGTTTTAAAAGATTGATTGATTGATTGGCAGAGACAAGGTCTTGGAACGCCTGGCCTCACACAGATCCTCCTGCCTCTGCCTCCCAAAGTTCTGGGATTATAGGTGTGAGCCACCACACCTGGCCTAAAATATTTATTTGTATATTTATAAATTAATAATAAATCCATTACCTATTTACATTATTACATTTTTGCAAATGTCTTTAACATCTGGCTTCATAAAAGGCTTTCACATTTTCGGTGTTGAGGCTGTTGGTGATAGCACGCGTCATGCAGCCCCACCCCCAGAGGCCTCTGCTCTGAGAGGGTGGAGAAAGGCAGATACTAGCTTAGAGTTCTCAGGAAGTTTTGCCTGCTGAGTTGTGTTCTGATGCTTCAGCATCAGTGGGCTTTAGGGTAGCCTTAAGGAAAAACTCTGGGCGCTTGCTTGTTGGCATTTTGGTGAGGGCCAGGTCTGTGCAAAAGGGACATTGAACATTGTTCCTTTCAAGAGCAAGAGGGGCAGGATCCATTGCCCTGTGGGTTTAGGGTGGGAGGAGCTGTAGCCCTGCTGAGCCCCTGGTAGGTTTTTAGATCTTAGGCAGGTTCAGATTTTTGGCTCCCTTTCAGCTCTTGTGTGTGGCGTGCATGTCTGTATACTGATGGTGTCCTGGGCTTTCTTACTTTGCTTTATCCTTCCTCTTAATTTCTTCACCTACATCTTGTTATCCATTTATGTATATCTGTAAGTTATATTATAATTCTGTTTTTATAAATTGTCTCTTTATTTGCACAAGATTGAGTATAAATCCTAAGTAAAAAATATCACCTTGTCATATTCTCTAAAGCCATTGTGTAGAAACCTTAGCATCTAGTAGATTATAGTCCGTTTTCATTTACAGAAATTAGTGAATCGCTTTCTTTTTCAGTGTTGCTTTCATCAAGTAACCTTAGCTAAGTGGAAACTTAACCATCGTATATCTGGAAGTATTAAGATGTTATTCTGTTTCGTTATATACTATATATAGTACAGTTACTTGGCAGTTTTGTTATTTATTACCTACCGACAGCCTCTGCCCTATTTTTCATTTTATTTCTGTCTCGTGTACACAGACATTCTTGTTAGTATTATCGTTGTTGTTTAGTCATAACGGGCTTTTTGTGCCTGCTTGTGAAACTGTTATAAGTTTCTTTTAACACTATTCTTAGTTACATGAGTATGTTTTCCATTAGTGTGGTTCTGCTGATTTTAAACTGGGAAAAACTTAATAATGTTTCCAAACCACACAGCCTCCTTCTGGTCATTAGAGCCTGAACTTGAAGCCAAAGAGGACCCCTGCAGATGGGTCCCGTGGTGACGTGAGCGCCTTGTCTCATTCCATCAGAGGGCTAGGTGTGTGTCACAAAGACAGTACTGAGATTTTTAGGAAAAAATACTTACACTTCATGCAAAGTGAACTGGGTAGAGATCAAAATGCATTTTGTATAAAATATTATAGTTTTTTGAAGATTAGAAGACATATTTGTTACTATATAGCTGCTGTCATTTCAGTTTTTAGAAGATGGGGCAGCCTTTTTACGTGATGAAGAGCAAGGCTTTGTCTTCTATAATTCTGAGGTGACGTTGACTCACCCAGCGAGAAAACTAAGTCCAGTTGAGATACAGGCGTTAGGGGTAGAGGCCGAAACGGACCCTGGAGAGGCTTCATTGGCTTTCCTGCTTCTTTTGCATCCCGAAGCATAAGCTTAAAGCATCTCAGAAGGACAAGGTCCGCCAGTTCATGGCGTGTACGCAGGCCTGCGAAAGAACTGCCATCTACTGCTTGACGCAGAATGAGTGGAAACTGGACGAGGCCACGGACAGCTTCTTCCAAAACCCAGAGTCGTTCCACAAGGAGTCCATGCGGAGTGCAGTGGACAAGAAGAAGCTGGAGCAGCTGTACGACAGGTACAAAGGTGAGAGGTGATGGGACAGCAAAGCCAGACAGACACACTGGTCTCTGGCGGGCCACACGGAAGTCACAGCTTGGAGCTGGGCATCTTGGTGGTGGTTACCTCTGTCCCTGCGGTGTTTTTCTGAGCACTTCTATTTAGGCTGAAGTCTTGGTGTTGAGAAAGTTGTTTCAGAACAACACCAAATGGTGAAAGTTACCCCAAAGCAAAGGTAATGGTCAGCATCTCTTACCCAGTGTCCTGGGGTTCTAGCACTGAAACAGCTGCAGCTAGCAGGTGAGCTCTGGGAAAGCTCTTGGCAAAGAAACCTTTGTCTTGCAGATGGGGGACAGTTGTTTTCGTTGACATCAGTACTTAGATTGGAGCTCTCTCTATCAAAATGCAGCTGTGCTGTAAAAGTAAGTCTGCACTGATGAGTAGATACAGATCCAAATCCCTCAGCAGGATTTAAATTTTCACATGAAACGTTGAATCGATTATAGGCAGAGGCAGCAAGGATTCGAGAGTTGGCTTATTCGCACACTGCCACGCACAGCTCAGCCTGTCTTCTGTGTGCCTCATATGTCATGAAAATGAATGGACTGTAGTCCTAACATGACTGAAAATATTCAACATTATTGCATATGAAATCTACCAAGATGGTTTATTAGGTAAAAGCAACCTCACATATCATGTTAGGAGATGGAATTGAATAAGAAAATAAATGGGAGTTTTTTACAGAACCTTTGTCCCATGAACCCTGGCTGAGGTCGTTTTTCTCCCTAATATAAGAGAATAGAGTTGGAAGCATGTTTGTGGTTTCAGTCATTTAATTTATATCGTGATTTTTCTTTGGGAACAACATATATATATATAAGTGATGTAGTATATAACACTTTAGGTGTGATAAAAAATTTAACTTTGGTCATGTAAGTAAAGAACCTACATGTTTTCTCTTTGCACCTTCTAAACCAACAGAATTCACGTATACGTTACGATAATGTACTATGAGGCACATAATGTGTCTGAAATTACTAGACTTAGTTTGGTGAAGTCTTGCTGGGATGCTTTTAATAGATTTCACTGTTAGATTTTCAGATAGACAAATGCTAAGTTCTTTAATTTTATTTCTAAACTAGAAATAGGCGGTAGGGAGCCTGGATTTCTAAGCTGTTAAATGCAACTGCTTATGCTAAATAATTTACTGTCCAGTGGTATTAGAACTAGCAAATGAAATCACTCAAAAAGAAAACATCATAGTTGTGATGAAAAACTCAAAGTACTATAAAAACTTTATCAATACAGTATATTTTATAGCAGTTTACATTTGGGCAAACTAAATTTCTGTGAACTGGAATCTTTATTTTAATTTAGGGAAGTTAAATTCTTAGTGATCAAATCTTCTCAAAGAAATTTCAGTGATTTTTTCCCCCCTAAAGCCCAAAAACCTATATTTTTAAAAATAGAACTACTTTCTAGAGAAAGCGTTATTCGTTACTCACTGTTCCTTTCACACACAGTAGAAAGTGCAGTCATTGATGGATGTGCTCGAACGCTCTTCTGGGCCTGTGTAGCAGAGAGGTTTGGGTCTAACCACTTATGTTAGGATTAGTTTTCAAAACAAACCCCCCCCCAGCTTATTCTGAGCAGAGAGACCAAAACAGTGTAACTTCTTTTTCCCTGATTTTCACTACAGACCCACAGGATGAAAATAAAATTGGAATTGATGGGATCCAGCAGTTTTGTGATGATTTAAACCTAGACCCTGCCAGCATCAGCGTTTTGGTCATAGCGTGGAAGTTCAGGGCAGCAACGCAATGTGAATTTAGCAAAAGGGAATTTCTAGACGGCATGACAGAGCTTGGGTAAGTCGGCTTAAATTTTTTTAAGCTTAATTTTTTGTCAGCTTAAATTTTTTCACAAAGGAAGTTGCTTTAAATGGTATTTATTTTTCAGCTACCTGTAAATATTAATTTCACATCTATTTATTTTCTTTGTGTATCTTAAGAGTCTCTTGGGCATCTACACTATTAAGCCTTTGATTTCCTTTCACATTCCAGTTTAAGGTTTTATTTCATTTCACATTTTTATTTTTATTCATATAAGTCCCTTTTGTAGCTTATTCTTTTTAATGTTCTCCTTCCAATTTTGAATTTACAGTAAATACCAGGTTTTTTCTAGCCATTAAGATTATTTGACAGTACTGTGTGCTAAATAGAATCTGTTATGTTGCTATGTTAGGTGTTAATAAAATGTCATTTTGGTGTTTGCTTGTAACATTTTTCTATTCTACCTACAGGGTTGGGATAAAAGCTTCATTAATAACTTAAGATGTTTCTTATTCATCAGATAAGTCATAAAAGTAAATGAAAGCGCCTAAGGCAGCTGTCTTCTAATGGTTAGCTCACTGAACTGCAGTCGTGCACTGCATAGGGACACTGCTGTCAGCGGCGGACACATACACGACAGTGTCCCGTAAGATTATAATGGAGCTGGCAAATTCCTGTCACCTAGTGACGGTCACAGCCGTCATGCAGCACAGCACAATGTGTTGGTCACATGTTTGTGGTGCTGCTGGTGTGACCCAGTCGGCACTGCCAGTCATAGAAAGTATGGCACATACAACTGTAGACAGTACTAATACTTGATAATGGCAATAAATGACTGTTTTACCAGTTTATGTGTTTACCACACTGTAGATCATTATTTTAGAGTATACTATTTATTTTAACCCTTTGCACTCGCTTGCTTTTTTTCTCGATTCTTTTATTATACTCTGTATTTAATTTTTAAATACCCCAGATTTTACAGAGCGCAGCAGTAGAATAAAAAACTGGAGTTTCTTTTCATGTAAACTTATTTATTTGGATTTTTTTATATTTCAAATTATTGATACATTCAAAGAGTAATTTTAATCTCTATAATTTTTGCTGACCATGTCGAGTCACACTCGACATCCGAGTGCAAAGGGTTAAAAAGTTAACTCTAACACAACTCCCCCCCCCCCAGGAGGTACCAGATGGAGGGAAGGAGGCCTTTTTGTCATGGGAGACAGCTCTGTGCTTGTTGTTGCCCCTGGAGACCTTCCAGTGGGACTAGAGGTGATCCTGACCCTGTGTAGGCCTAGGCTGTTGTGCGTGTTTATGTCGTAGTTTTTAGTAAAAAAGTTTAAAAAGTAAAAAATTTTTAAAACTAAAAAAATTTTTAAATATAAAAAAGTGCATAGAATAAGAATATAAAGAAAGAAAATATTTTTGTACAGCCTTTGTGTTTGTATTTTAAGCTAGGTGTTATTACAAATGAATTTAAAAGTAAAAGTTCATAAAGTAAAAAAAGTTACAGTAAACTGAGGTTAATTTATTATTAAAGAAAAATATTTTTTGATAAATTTAGTGTAGCCTAAGTGTACAGTGTTTTTAAAGTCCACGGGAATGTCCGAGGCCTTCACATTCACCCAGAGCAACTTCCAGTCCTGCAGGCTCCATTCATAATAAGTACCCGATATAGAAGTACCATTTTTTATCATTTCTCCCATATTGTTACCGCACCTTTTCTGTGTCTAGACACACAGTACTTCCCATGGTGTTGCGTTTGCCTGCGGTATCCAGCCCGGTCACCTGCTGCGCAGGTTCTGTGGCCTGGGAGCCGCAGGCGGCTTAGAGCTGGGCGTGCAGCGGACCGCCCGTCTGGTCTGTGTGAGTGTGCTCTATGCTCACACGCCACGACACTGCCTAACGACACGTTCTGATGAACATGTCCCGGTCGTTAAGCGACGCATGACTGTATTTCACGAGGTCACGTAAAAGCCAACTTGTTCGACTTGCTGTTATTTCTGATATTCTGATATTTTGGTGTCGAAGTCTTAGTATAGCATATTTTTACCTGCTGAAGAGAACATAGAGCCCTACAGCAAACATGTTCTTAAGTCATGTGCTTACAGCAGCCAAGGGAAAAGAAAAAATAGAGCACTTGTTTTTTCCACAAAACTGAGGAATCTGTATTTATCAGCCTGTCTCTTTAGATAAACTCTACAAGACTTACGTTCTAATGCAGATGTTCCTTGCCTTGTGGTAGGGTTATGTCTTTCTAGCTTTAGTGTATGTGCTGCCAAAGTGGGTTGCATCTTGGCACACCTGTCATAAGTTGAAAATGCATTTAGTACCCCAGCAAACCCTTTGTAACGTTGAAAGACCAAATTTCAAACCCTTGAAAGTTGGGAGCTGTCTGTAATAACTTGCCACGTTTCTGGTGGTTGTGTAAAACCAAAGATATTACAGCAATGGTGTAACAGCATATTTCTTTATGTTCTTTTTACATAGGAAAGCCTAATTGAATTACTAGTAGTTTTAGAATGAGAAGTACCTAGAATGTGTGATACATTATCCTTTCTGTTAAAATCTCCCTAAAATGGGAAATTTGGGAAGTTAGTACTTCTTATGGAAACACTATTGGCACTTCTTAGTCGTTGTCTAAAGATATGTTGTTCAAGGAAATTTTTTAAATTTCTATTATCCTATTATGAGTCATAATATATTTTAAAGATTGTGAGTGTAAATCTCCCCAAAATATGTTAGATGATTTTGTGCCCTCTTTTCAAGAGTATGCAGAATGTGATCTAAGGTTACACGTTTATGATGATAATGCCGCTGTTCGTGCCTCACAGGGCAGAGGTAAAAGCATTTTGCAAATACTAAAGTTTTATGCTAAATATCATATTAATGCTTTACTAAACTATACTGCAGAGATAATGTCAGTGCTTTTAGGACTGTTCGATAGGACTAAGCTTTAAAAAATAGCTTTTGTGTCTATTTTTATTTTTCTCACACTTGAGTTGATAGAGGCTATTGACTCTCTTGACTGAGGTTAGAAAATCTGCTCTTAACAGTTAATCCGTGTAATCCCAGCTCTCTGGGAGGCCGAGGCAGGCGGATCGTTTGAGCTCAGGAGTTCGAAACCAACCTGAGCAAGAGCGAGACCCCGTCTCTACTATAAATAGAAAGAAATTAATTGGCCAACTAATATATATATAAAAAATTAGCCGGGCATGGTGGCACATGCCTGTAGTCCCAGCTACTCGGGAGGCTGAGGCAGGAGGATCGCTTGAGCCAGGAGTTTGAGGTTGCTGTGAGCCAGGCTGACGCCACGGCACTCACTTTAGCCTGGGCAACAAAGCAAGACTCTGTCTTAAAAATAAAACAAAACAAAAAAAAACAGTTAATCCGACATAATTTCATTAGGGGCTTAAGGATTTGTAAGTATACTGAGTAAAATGTCTGAGCATGGTGTTTAGACGTGGCACCAGGCAGTTGGGAGCAGCTGTACTGTAGATGACAGCTGGAGACTCTGGGTACATGGTAAAAACTCTGCTTGAAGGTGTCGAAGAACTAGCAAGATAGTGAAGAACTAGGAAACAGAGACCCAGGAGGAGAGCCCAGCGTTTGAGGCTGCTCTTCCCCAGAAGCATTTGGCAGTGCTTTTTTTTTTTTTTTCAGCATATTAGGGGGTACAAATCTCAAGGTTACATATATTGCCCATGCCCCCCCTTGGCAGTGCTTTTGACAGCCTTTTATAGGCAGAGGGACAAGACTGAACACCAGGGCCTGGCAGGTCTTCAGGGCAGAACAGCCTGTCCTCCAGGAATGAGGGCGAGCCTGATGTCCTCCTGGGGGCTGCTCCTGGCTGGGTCAGCGGGTGGCCTGGAGGACAGTCAGCCCTTGGAATGGGATTGAGGCCATCCCCCGTTTCTGGTGCCTGGCAGAAGTAGAATGCTGCTTGGAAAAAGACCTCACCTGCACTGCTTCTGCAAACACTTGTTTTCTGCTGCAGTGTTTGGCACAAAATCAGACATAGACAGGTACGTGAGGAAACACAATTACGTAAAAAGAGTCAACAGAAAAAAAACGAATAACAGAAATGAGCCCACAGAAGTTCCAGGAAGCAGAACGCTGGAATGGACTAAAATAACTGTGGTCACTTTGTTCAGCAGATAAGTTGGCAGAGAACTGGATATGTAGAAGTCACATAGCACAGCTAGAAAGGATAAGAACTAGCAGCCTGGGAACAGAAGGACAAAGGAGGAGGACTTATGCACCTAATTTGAGAACTCTGTCTATGGCTGGGATGATCAGGACAGCCTGGTGCTGGCTGAGGGTAGATAAATTCACCCGTGGGGTACCGTAGGAAATGCAGATACACATCCACTCATGCCTAGTCAGTTTTCCATTCTTACAGAGATGTCAAGGCATTTCAGTGGAAGGAAGAGTCTTTTAAACAAATGGTGCTGAAACAACAGGATAAACTTGAAAAAATGTAACCTCAATCTCTCCTTTGTATCATAGTAAAAATCAGCTGGGAGGGGGTGCTCCTGCAGGCAGCGGGGAGGGGTGCTCCTGCAGGCAGCGGGAAGGGGGTGCTCCTGCAGGCCGGCGGAGGGGTGCTCCTGCAGGCAGCGGGGAGGGGTGCTCCTGCAGGCAGCGGGGAGGGGGTGCTCCTGCAGGTAGCAGGGAGGGGGTGCTCCTCCAGGCAGTGAGGAGAGGGTTGCTCCTGCAGGCAGTGTGGAGGGGGTGCTCCTGCAGGCAGTAGAAAAGCGGGTGTCCTGCAGGAGTAAAAAGGGGTGCTCTGCAGGCAGTTGGGATCGTGATATCCTCCTCCCCAGGCAGTGGAACCAGGGGTGCTTCCCCCGCAGGCAGTGGGGATGTGATGCTCCTCCAGGCAGTGGAAAAGGGGTGCTCCCGCAGGCAGTGGGAAGGAATAATCCTGCTGGCAGTGGGGAGGGGGATGCTCCTGCAGGCAGTGGAAAGGGGGGTGCTCCTCCAGGCAGTGGAAAAGGGGGTGCTCCTACAGGCAGTAGAAAAGGGGTGCTCCTGCAGGCAGTGGGGATGTGATACTCCTCTAGGCAGTAGAAAAGGGGTGTTCCTGCAGGCAGTAGAAAAGGGGTGCTCCTGCAGGCAGTGGGGATGTGATACTCCTCCAGGCAGTAGAAAAGGGGTGCTCCTGCAGGCAGTGGGGATGTGATACTCCTCCAGGCAGTGGAAAAGGGGTGCTCCCGCAGGCAGTGGGAAGGAATAATCCTGCTGGCAGTGGGGAGGGGGGGTGCTCCTGCAGGCAGTGGAAAGGGGGGTGCTCCTCCAGGCAGTGGAAAAGGGGGTGCTCCTCCAGGCAGTGGAAAAGGGGTGCTCCTGCAGCTGGTAAAGAGGGGGTGCTCCTCCAGGCAGTGGGAAGGGATGACCAACACACAAGTGCAGCCACTGCCACCCTGAGTGTGGGTGGCACTGCCACTGCCACCCTGAGTGTAGGCTCACGTTCATCTACAACACGGTCATGCGTGGCCTACTCACAGCTGTGTTCTGAGCAATGCATTACTGTGTGAACATGCCACAGTGTACTTTCACAAACCTAGATGGCATGGCCTCCTGCATTCTCCAGCTGTGTGGCAGGCCCTATCACTGCAGGCTACACGCGTGTGCCACGTGTCACTGTGCGGAATGCTGCAGGCAGCTGTAACCTAAACAGAGAAAAGGTGATGCCCTGTGCCACGACGTCATAACGGCTATGATTACAGCCGGGCCACCAGGTGGTGGGAATTTTTTGCTCCATTGTAATCCTAAGGGACCATTCCGTGGTTGACTGAAATATTGTCTGCAATGCATGACTAGTTGTTGAGCTGTACGTTCGTGCTTTTCTCTGTGTGTTTATGGACTTTTCAGGCTGCTCCGAGGCTTGCTGCAGTTTCCTTAGCTCTACTTGGATAAGTAAAGTGTTGCTGTCATCCTATTCCTTGCTGTGTATTCAAAATTAGAAAGATTTTGTTTCACTATTTTAGGTTTCTGCCTTATAGGACATTTACATTTTTAAAAGTTACTGACTTTTTGGAAGAAAATACCATTTTAAAACAATGCGGAGCTGTATTTTGTAATACTTGTATGTTTTAAGTCCAGCCTGCTGTAATGACGAAAGCCCTAAATACAGCAGCATAAACAACATGGGTCCATTGTTCTCCTCATGGCAGCACAGAGGTGGGCAGTGGTCCTGGCTAGCAGGCTGGCTCGGGTCCGAAAGTCCCCCATCCTGCCACCGTGTCATCCTCAGGCGTTGGCCTCTGCATGGTCACAGGGCAGAGTTAGACCACGCCCTCGATTCCAACTCACAGGAACTGGGCAAGCGATTTTACTTTTGGTTTTTTCTTTTAATGATGGTTTTACTGAGATATAATTCACATACCATGTTTGGTTTTGTTTTTGTTTTTGAGACAGAGTCTCACTCTGTAGCCCGGGGTAGAGTGCCGTGGCATCAGCCTAGCTCACAGCAACTTCAAACTCCTGGGCTCAAGCGATCCTCCTGCCTCAGCCTCCCGAGTAGCTGGCATGTGCCAGCTACAGGCATGTGCCACCGTGCCCAGCTAATTTTTTCTATATATTTTTAGGTGACCAATTAATTTCTTTCTATTTTTTTTAGTAGAGATGGGGTCTCGCTCTTGCTCAGGCTGGATTTGAACTCCTGACCTTGAGCAATCTGCCCGCCTCGGCCTCCTAGAGTGCTAAGATTACAGGTGTGAGCCACCGCGCCTGGCCATATACCATGTTTTTACCCAATAAAGTTGACAACCCAATGGTTGCAGTGAATTTACAGAGCTGCACAGCTGTCACCACAATCCCTCCTAGAGCATTTCAAATCCCTCTGAGCAAGGGGGCAGCTCCCACTTAAAGTCCACCACTCGGAACGGGGCCTCAGGCCACCCCAGATTGCACAGGAAGGTGGGAAATGTGGTCTCCAGCCGGGGCCACGAGCGGGCCCGGGTTCCTGCGGGGGACGGGAGTGCCCACGGGGGAGCACACCTGCTGCGGGTAACAGGCCGCTGTCTCTGTGTCACAGGTGCGATAGCACAGAGAAGCTAAAGGCTCTTCTGCCAAGACTGGAACAAGAGCTTAAGGACACAGCGAAGTTTAAAGACTTTTATCAGTTTACCTTTACCTTTGCTAAGAACCCTGGGCAAAAAGGTCTAGGTGAGTATGGAATCCAGACCTGCAAGGAGCCAGGTCTTGATGAGATTCTGGGTGGACACGACCAGCGTGGCTTCTGCGCGGCCGGGGCTACGCCGTCTGCCCTCCTCGGCCTCCTTTCCTCCGCGCTCGCTCTGCCTCAGGTGGGCTGGTCCCTGAAACCCGTACCCGTACCCGAAGAGCTCACCCAGCAGTGTCTCCTAACTCCTGGGCTTAGATGTGTAAATTCTGAAACATAAACTAATTAGTAAGTGTTCTGTGTCCTCTCACATTGGTGTCCTGGTGACTAGCGGGCGAGGGAAGGCAGCCGTGAGCGTGAGCGAGCTGGGTGTGGAACATGCTTTCTGCACGGAGCGGGCTCCGGCCCGGCCTGCAGTCCGTCACTGCGGGGATGCGCTGGCCGGGTGACGGGAGTCCCCAGCGGTCTGCACATTCACACCTGACCTGCTGGAAGCCAGTTCCCCACGCACTGAATTACACTTGAGTACTTCTTTGAGGGTTACGTGGTTTTGCTATGATACAGCTTGTGTTTTACTATAAATTATACATCTGGAAATTTTTTTAATTAAATTTTCAGTTTGAGTTTTTGGTTTTTTTGAGAGTTCTGTTTTATTTTGTTTTTCACCTAAGGTAGTATGTAGTTTATTTCTGACTTACCTTTTTCTAAACATCAATCTATATTGACCTATACTTTGTTGCCTAGTATAACAGACCTTATTTAGTTCAGTGAAATCTTTTACAAGTCTGGAGGGAGTTATCTGGTCTTCTAAATAGAGACTAATCAGGTATAGTAGAAAGTATATTTTGAAAAAGATCTCCTGTAAATAAAAGCAATATTTTAAGATGATAATATTTAATTTCCTAAAAATTATATGGGAAACAGAGGCCAGGCACGGTGGTTCACGCCTATAATCCTAGCACTCTGGGCAGCCAAGGCAGGAGGATTGCTTGAGCTCAGGAGTGCAAGACCAGCCTGAGCAAGAGCGAGACCCCGTCTCTACTAAAAACTGGAAAATCAGCCGAGTATGGTTGCGCATGCCTGTAGTCCCAGCTACTCAGGAGGCTGAGGCAGCAGGATCGCTTGAGCCCAGGAATCTGAGGTTGCTGTGATCTGTGATCACACCACTGCACTTCAGCCGAGGTGACAGAGCAAGACCTTGTCAGGGAGGGAGAGAGGGAGGGAGGAGCTGGAATAACCCACAGATAGACACACACACCACAAGTGTTTGGTTTTTGCCCTTCTGCCTTGTCGATGGGACTAGCAGTTAATAAGCTGCCCGTTGCTTTTGTTGGGGGTGTTTATCTGGTCTACACATAGTCCCTACTTTATAAGTAGGGAAAGCAAGGCAGAGACGTTGAATGACTGATCCAGAGCAAGACCCTGGGCATGTCCCCTGAGTGCCCGCCCCTCCTGCCCGAGCACATCGCACCCGTCCCTGGTGGGCGGCCTGGCATGCAGGGGAAAGCTCGGCGCCAGGAGAGGCGTGCGGGGTCTGCAGTCACGGGAGAGCAGGACAGAGCGGGCAATGGTGAGGGCTTGTGGGAGTCGCCACGCGGCCTCTCCCGTGTCCCCGTCCACCGCCCTGCCAGCCTTGCTGCCGGCCTCCCTGCCGCTCCTCCTGCCCTTGGAACCAGAACCAGACTTCACTCTGGGCTGAGAAGAGCTTTCCCCATCTACCTTGTCTTCCCTTTCATCTTATTCCATCTGACTACAGGTTTTGTACTAGAGGTTGTTTTTTTTTTTTTGAGCAAGAAGTATAACAATTTGAAGCCCCTAAGCAGAGTTAATTTCAGCCGAGATGAGTCCACCTTAATTTTTAAAAAGCAACATTAACATGAAAACAACAGTGATTTTTTTTCACGTACTGTAGCTCCATCAGCTTCTGTCTTGGCGGGAGCCCTTTGGGAGAGGGGTAGCGTCTTCCTGCTCCTTCACAACAGCAGGAAAAGCTTCCTTGTGCTCCTGGAGCGTCACTGTGGCACGTCCTGACAGAGGCCCGGCCTCAGCCTTGGGGGCATGGCGGGGCACTAGTCAGGGTGGCCCCACCAGGTACTGTCACTGCCCCGTGTGGTGCTCTTGGGAAGGCACTGGCCCCGGGCACTGTGCTGCCACAGTGACAGGATAGTCTGGGGCCGGTGCTGAGGTGCACACTCGGCCTCCATGCACCGCCCCCCCCAGGTGAAACCCCTCTGTGTACCACACACACTAGCCCCACACTGACAATTCAGCCAGCCTTTGCTTTGTACTTAAAAATACCGCAGCTCCTTTCATGTGGACGATGAAGATTGTTTCCTCCTTAGGAATCTTGCTCACGCCTTAGGTGTCACTTCCTAGCACTGCAGCAGGGATGGGGGCTGCAGTGAGGGCAGGGGTGGAGCTAGGAGGGACCGGAAGGGACGCGTGGATCCCTGGAGACGGGGCCGTGGGCGCTGGGAGGTGCCAGACACAGGCTTGTCCTGGGCCCGGCTGGGGTCACTTTCCAAAGCACAGAGCCCACCTGTGCAGGTGCTCAGGGTACAGCCCTGGTTGGTAGAGCACTGTGAGTGGTGATGTGTGTTTTAATTTGTCAGAGAGGATCAGGGAAACCTGTGCCATGTTCACGGCTCTGTGACGGCTCGTGTGGGGCAAGCCAGACCACGTCATGGTGAGCACCTAGCCACTGGCCGGGATCTGCGCTGTTGTGTGGCTGTTCACGTGGCACGTGAGAAATGCACAGTCGTGCTGTGTCCCTCAGGCTGTTACAGCCTGGCCGCTGGGCCGGGGGCTCACACAAGCTCACAGTCTGCCTTTAGGTGTTTGCCGAGTCTTGGGTCGGAGCCCGCCTGGCTGGCCGTCTTCATCTTGGGGACATCAGTAGCTCTCACCCACGGTGCCAAGACCGGCTGGCTTGTTAGGGCTGCAGAGTGATGGGGTTCTGCCCCCCCATTTCCTATGCCGCGTGGAGGGGTCGTATAGAGAGGTGCTTTCCGCTCAGAAAGGCAGAACAGGCGCTGGCTCTGGGCCTTGGCGTCCCAGCTCTCAGGAGTAAGCTAGTTCCCCGGCATTTTTCAAAGGTCAGTCGGTGTTTGTCTTTTCGTATCATTGTGAACCGACGGATTCAACACCTTGGAAGGGTTTGAGTCCATTCAAGTCTTATGCTGCTTGGAGCTTAGGTTGCCCCGTCTGTGGCCAGTGGAAGCCTCTTCAGGGTCCTGAGTCCTTTTGACAGGACCACAGTGGCCTTGAGAGCTTGCTCCCGCCTGCAGGATGCGGTTCTGGGCCACCACGCCCTTTCTGCACCTGACTAGGAGCCGCCTGTGTCTCAAAGTAGCCCTGATTTCTTGTAGTGGAAAATGGGTTCGAGGCCATAACCTAGCTGCTAGGAATGTGAGTTAATACTGAGTTGGTCCTTGTTAACCTATTTACTAGGGTGCTCATCGACACTGAGTTGGTCCTTGTTCACCTGGTCACTAGGGTGCTGGTGGGTACTGAGTTGGTCCTTGTTCACCTGGTCACTAGGGTGCTGGTGGGTACTCAGTTGGTCCTTGTTCACCTGGTCACTAGGGTGCTGGTGGGTACTAAGTTGGTCCTTGTTCACCTGGTCACTAGGGTGCTGGTGGGTACTGAGTTGGTCCTTGTTCACCTGGTCACTAGGGTGCTGGTGAGTACTGAGTTGGTCCTTGTTCACCTGGTCCCTGGGGTGCTGGTGGGTACTGAGTTGGTCCTTGTTCGCCTGGTCACTAGGGTGCTGGTGGGTACTGAGTTGGTCCTTGTTCACCTGGTCCCTAGGGTGCTGGTGGGTACTGAGTTGGTCCTTGTTCACCTGGTCATTAGGGTGCTGGTGGGTACTGAGTTGGTCCTTGTTCACCTGGTCACTAGGGTGCTGGTGGGTACTGAGTTGGTCCTTGTTCACCTGGTCCCTGGGGTGCTGGTGGGTACTGAGTTGGTCCCTGTTAACCTGGTCACTAGGGTGATGGTGGGTACTGAGTTGGTCCTTGTTCACCTGGTCACTAGGGTGATGGTGGGTTCTGAGTTGGTCCTTGTTCACCTGGTCCCTGGGGTGCTGGTGGGTACTGAGTTGGTCCCTGTTAACCTGGTCACTAGGGTGATGGTGGGTACTGAGTTGGTCCTTGTTCACCTGGGTCCTGGGTGCTGGGTGGTACTGAGTGGTCTTGTTCACCTGGTCCCTGGGGTGCTGGTGGGTACTGAGTTGGTCCTTGTTCACCTGGTCCCTGGGTGCTGGTGGGTACTGAGTTGGTCCCTGTTAACCTGGTCACTAGGGTGATGGTGGGTACTGAGTTGGTCCCTGTTAACCTGGTCCCTGGGCTGCTGGTGGATACTGAGTTAGTTGGTCCTTGTTAACCTGATCACTAGGGTGCTCACTGACACTGAGTTGGCTCCTGTTTCTAGGCTTCTTAGTAAACAGAGGTTGATTCTGAGGCTTTCAATTCAAATTCAGGACTACATCCTCTACTGCTGCAGTTCAGGTTCGTGATGATGCTTCATCACGTAAATTTACTGTAAATGCTGCCTACAGGGTTTGCAGTCTGACTGCATTTTCTGTCTTGTGTGAGGATTCAAAGAGATTTTAAAACTGTGCTGCTTCTGCTACCTTCCAGAATCCTTTCCAACGCCGTTAGTGTTGGTTCTCGTAGATTGCTTGTCTGAGGAGAGAGGAGTATGGCTGAGCACGGAACTTCTTGCTTTAAACCAGTCAAGTCTGGAGTCCTCAGGGGTTTGTTTCCCCAAGACTGCTGTTTTTTCTTTTAGCCATTTTAACTATTTTTAAGCATATAGCTCAGAAGCACTAAGTGCACTCACAATGTGTAATCACCGCTAGAATCTATATCCAGAACTTTCTCATCATCCCAAACTGCTTCTCTGTCCCAACAGAACACACTCACCTCCCGCCGCCCCGCCCCCACCCGGCAGCCTCCTGTCTGCTGTCCCTGAGGACTGAGCTTGGGACCGCACGCAAGTGGAGTCTCACGGCGTTTGTCTCTCTGTGCCTGGCTGGCTTCACGTGACAGAGTGGCCTCAAGGCTCACTCACATTGCTCCACGGGTCACAGTGTCCTTCCTTGCTAAGGCTGAGTCATATTCCTCGCGTGCAGACACCGCGTGTTTATCCACCATCCGTCAGCGGACATGGGCTACTTCCACTGCTTGGCCACTGTGAACATGGGCGTTCCGTGATCTGCTTGGGTCTCTGCTTCGGTGCTCGCGGGTGTGTGCCCAGAAGTGGAACTGCCGGGCCGCGTGGTACCTGTGTGTTTGGTGTTTTGAGGGACCACCACTTCGTTCCCACAGTGGCTGCGCCATGTCACGCTCCCGTCAGCCGCAGAGCAGCCGTACGATTCTGCACATCCTTGCCAGCACTTGTTCTCTGGGGTTTTTATTTTTGTTTTTTAATAATAGCCATCCTGATGGGTGTGCCCAAGGCTGCTCTCTTACAGGCTGACTTTTTACTTTGGGGACGGAAACTCTTGGTCTTCGTCGTCTCTACCCCACTCTGTTCCTACGAGGCTGAGGCAAGACCGTCATCCAGGTTAAAGGCTACTTCAGTTTGTTCCCCGATGACACAGTAACTGTCGGCAGTGCTCTCAGGAAGCCGTTGCTGGTGTTCCCTAGAAACTGACAGGCAGGTGGACGACAGAGTGACAGTGCCGGAGACTTGGGCCGGGCTCACCTGGTGCTCCCAGGGTACCTGTGGGCGAGGACCAGGCTGCGATCCTAGCTGGTGGCTGTTCCTGCTGCAGCTGTTATTTCCTCTCATGCTCTTGTTTTCTCTTCACTGCGTCTGTTTCCTGATTCCTCCCCTTCCCATGGGGACATTCACCCAGGCTGGAAATGCTGTCCCTGTTGCCTCTCTAAAGTTGGCCAGTTCCGGTCTGACTGTAATGATCGTTATTCCGCAAAAGGAAAGTTTAAGTAATGCAGTCTAATCCTCAGAGGATTATCTAGCTTCCTTTCTCAAATGAGTGAGAATTAGTCTGATGCAAATTTCAAAATAACAGCAATTTTTCTTTATTATTAAGTGGTTATCAGGAAGGACACCTTGAAATTTCAATGAATGATAAAGCAGTATTTTTTCTGTGTTAAGCACTTTGTTAGCCGAGGCGGGAGGATCGCTGGAACCCGGGAGCTGGAAGCTGCAGGGAGCTGTGATGACGCCACTGCGCTGTGGCCCTGGGTGGCAGAGCAAGGCCCTGCCTCAAAAAAAAAAAAATCATCCACTGGAGAATTAGAAGAGTTACTGATTTTGTTTATTTGATTCATGAGAGTAATTGAAAGAAAATGAAATTATGTTAAAATAATGGCCTCTGAGGAAAATAATTTGATTGTGTGAACGTTTCAAATAGATCACAGCACTATTTTAGAAACTTTATGGGGGCTTTTTAAAAAAAGAAATAAAGCAAGAAAATAACTTTATGACTATAAACCAAAAACAGAGCGATCCATTTAAGTATGCTTACTACACGGTCTGTCTTCTGAAGAGTCAAATGTAAACTAAAGAGGCCGACACATTGTTCTGGTAGCTCCCAGAGAAAGCATGGGCTACAGCAGAAAAGTGGAACCGAAAGAGAAATCGGTCCTTTATTTCCTTCATGTTTGCGTGTCATGTACACACACTAAGAGTATGCGTGCTGTGTTGTTTTGTGTAAGATTATTCTTCTCCTGCACCTAACCGGTGGTCAGCCTCATAAAAAGAATAATGAAAGTTATTTGCTCTTCATCTCAGTGTGAAAGTCTAACGTGGTTTCATGCTGGCTGGCGTCCAGAATGAGCTGACTTTGAGAGTCTTGATGTTTGAGAAAGTACAGTTTCATGACAGTTAGCTAGTTTTTATTTCTGCCGTAAGATCCTTGCGGAGCATCACAAGCCTGCGTTTTAAATAACACCGTTTTCGCACTCAGGAGCTGAGACTTTCTAGAGGGTCTTGGCAGAAGACAGCTGCAGCGAAGGAGCAGCCCGAATGGCTGCTGGTCTTGTCTCGGCCCTGCCCCTCTAGTCGCCGTGTTTTGCAAATGACTCAGTCCAGTGAGGACAATAAATAATCACATATTGAAAATTCATATATTTACTTCTAGTTTTGTGGGGTGCAAACCTGCAGATCAGATTCTTTGTGAGAAGGGTTTCTGGGGCCGAGCCCAGCCCGAGAGCCGCTCGATCTCCGTGTACGCCATCAACCTGTTTCTCTTTCCTCCCCAGGTCCGCCTGCATGTCTCAGTGAGCGCTTGGCGGCTCTGAGACGGGCTGCGTGTAGAGTCCCACTAAGTTCCTCCCAAGGGATCAGGATGTAGACTTATAAGCAGGACCAGACTAAGCATCTTAGCGTTGCCCTGCGGGCCCCATAGGTAAGGTCTAGAGAGCCGTTCCATGCCAGCTGCCTGGAACTTTCTGACTCTTCCTCTCTGATTGAGACTCAGGGTGTTTACAACTGAGAAAGTGGCGGACCCTTTAAACACATAAGGAGTACAGAAGTATTTATTTAAAGGTGGTTGCTACTCATTTATCTCTTATCTGATTTTAACAATGATCGACTCTGGACATCTCAGGTTAGACCTCTGATTTTAATAATTTTAATGATTTTTGTCTAAGTGGGATTAAGCCAGATTTAGAAGAAAATCTTTGGGAAAGTTGGGTATTTTTCACTGAAAATAATCTATTACCTTAATATATTTATTAATCTGCTTTTTACATTATTTTACTTGACATAGATACATAAAAATGTAATTAGGAGATCGTTTCAATATAACCTTTCTTTTAAAGGTTATATTGCCTGAAAGTGTGAACACTGTTGATATGATTAAAGGTGGTCAGTTTTAAGAAATTGGCTTCTCAGCTCCTTTACGGACTTGCCGTGTCAACCATGTAAAGAGTGGTAGTTATTAGCAGAAAACTTGGTTCCTTAAAAAAAAAAAAAAGAGTGGTAGTTATTAAACTTCCCGTGAGCAGAGAACAAGTCAGTATTCCAACAATTACGGATCGGACATGCTGTTGTAGGGCAGCCCTCAAGTTCAGCGTTCATGTTTCATCAGACACCTTCTCACGACCGAGCCCTCACGGTGCTGGCGTTGATCTGTGTAGGAGACCAAAAGCAATCACTGCTTCTGGTTAGGGAAGATGAGGACGCTGGCTTTGACGGATCAGCAGTCTAGATTTGTAAATATCCTCGTGTCAGTGAAATGCTTTCCTCTGCACACCAACCCCTCTGGACGGTGCAGTAAGGAACCCAGAGTCCTCAGGACACTCACATAACACAGCTGTGAGTCAGGGTCTGCCCGGAGAGCTGTGCGTCCCCTCCTCCCTAAACCAGTCGTTGGGTTTGCGGTTCAGCACGCAGACAGGGCAGGGGCCTGTGTTTAAAAACAAATTATATGCATTGGTAGCATTCAGATCAGGTCAGGTTTTAAAGAAAGCCCAATGTAAATGAAAATTGGGGTCTCCAAACAGATTAATTCGGGGATAATTATTTATATGATTGAATAATTTAATACGCAAATCCTTTTCTGAGTGAGTTTCCCAGATTTATAAAATTAAACTATGTGTAATTCTCAGGAGCAATTCTGTAGAGATTAAGGCTCCTGTGGCTCTGGGGTAAGATTGCTAAATTTTATCCACAAAGTGAATATCAGTGTGCTGAGAAGTGATCATTGTTTTGTGCAGTAGAAAAAGAGATCAGGATTTATTAACTGTTCTTTCTCTCTTTTTGCCAGATTTAGAAATGGCTGTTGCATATTGGAAATTAGTATTATCTGGAAGGTTTAAATTTTTAGATCTTTGGAACACGTTCTTACTGGTAAGTGTCCTGCTGCTTGCATGTGTGCCCAGCGTGAAGGAGGGTCAGCAGGTTCAGGGCTGCTCATAATTGTCGAGCTAAAGTCTCACATGTGGCAGTTTGGGGCAAATAAAAGCCCCACACAGGGACCCGCAGGACAGACAGGCTGCGTCTCGGCCTCGCCACCTTGTGAGAGCAGCAGCAGCAGCCGCCGGGCCTCAGATGGAGTGGCGCCGTGGCTGTCCGCGACAGGGGACTCCTGGACTCCTCCTGGATGGGGCTTTCCGGAAGATCTGCTGCAACCCTGGCCTGTCGTCTCCTCTGACGGCCCTAAACAGCTGTGTTTCCACCAGGAAAGTTCAGACCCTTAAAGAAAGGGCCAGGCACCACGTTTCCTGTGAGCTGATCTGGACTCTGGAGCTGTGGGTTGTGCCCCGTCGTCCAGGTACCCCAGCCGCGGCATGCGTGGTCGTGGTCCGACGCCATCTTCAAAGTGCTCAAAGAGGAAGGGAGGCCTTACTGGCCTCGAAGAAAGAACCTCGCTTTCCCGGCGCTGGTCCCTGTCTGGCCGGGCCGCGGGTGCCGCTGTGGGGTGAGGGGAGCAACTGGGGTGCGAGGACAGGCCCCAGCCCCAGAGAAGACGGCGCTGGGGACGGAGAGCTCACCAGCCTCTCTTGCTGTCCTGTCCGCGTGGCACAGCCACAGCCTGGCCACGGCGAATCAGCCCCCCCGATTCAGTTCGCGACGCCAGGAACGGGGCCCTGCTCTGCCACTCGCTAGTGTGGAGGCCTGTGGCAGGTGACTTCCAGAGCCTCAGCGTCCACATCGGGTGGCAGCACGCACAGGGCGTCACAGGTGGGGCGCACGTGTCTGAGGGGCGTGGTGTGTCCGTGCTCCCTGCACACGTCACCCCTGCAGAACATCCAGAGGCTGATGGCCTTGTGCCCGTCACTCTCACTCTGTCCCTGGGCCCAGCCTGCGTCTCGGGCGTTCCCCACACACTCCTCCTGGGCGCGAGGCGCCCGCGGCGTCATGGCGGCAGAGCACGGGCATGGCCACAGGAGAACGAACGGGCCGAGAAACAGGAGCATCAGCTCAACGGAACACAGCCCCGGCGCAGAGAACAGGAGCGAGTTTAGACTTACACCTGTCAGTCTGCCGACATTCCAGACGTGACGTTAAATGGGGAAAAAAATAAGATGCAGAAAACGAGATATGATTTGCTGGCAGTTAAGAACGTTTTGAAGTACAAGTCATGCTTATGAGCTGAGTACGAATGTATGTATGTGTGATTTGTGGAAACAGTCAAGGGAGCGACGCACGCCGAGTTCAGGAGAGAGACGCCCTGCCCCGGAGGAGGGGGCAGGCGGGTGAGGGGCAGGCCGAGGGAACCCGCGCTTTGCCCCCTGGCAGTGGCGACTGAACAGCTGGTCTGCCACTCTCAGTGGCTCTGGGAGTCTGAAATGTGAATAACAAATGTCTTTAGAGATTTGTCCCGTCCCACTGTAAGAACTGCCTAGCATTTAAAAAAATAAATATATAGCACTAAAATAAATAGGAATGCAAACTTGCCTGCTGTCCTGCATTGCTTCAGAATCGGTTTGAAAGGCAGATAACAAGATTAAAAATATTGCCTGAAAGAAGAGTTCATAATTTTAATATTTAAAATATTTCATTATGTTTTTAAATAAATCTGCTTTCTGTATTTGGACATTGGCGTTGTTTAGCTTGTAGCATTTATACAAAGTACTATTATCACTCTTAACTTTTAACAACTTTGTTGTTATACTTGTTGCCAATCAAATCAGTGGGCATCACTCGTTAACTGAAGCTCACTAGGCCCCTAGAACATCTGAGAGTTAAGTTCTTTGTCTTAAATGTGGTCGGTTTCTTTCTCTTATGTATTAGGAACATCACAAGAGATCGATTCCGAGGGACACTTGGAACCTTCTGCTAGATTTTGGAAACATGATTGCAGACGACATGTCTAACTACGATGAAGAAGGTACTGGAAGTCGTGCTTCAGATGCTTGTCAGCAATGCTCCCGCCTGACACGCATGTCCCCTTCTCTGCAGCCGTGGCAGATGCGGACACTCCTTCAGACGGGCCCCACCGACTCCCGGACACTCCCTGTCACTGACGTGGGGTGATGGAAGTGGCCATGTCATTATTTCTTGCAAATCACACAAAAGAAAAGTGGGGCTTCATATTCAGTTTAGCTGGGGAAGATGGTCCTCTAGCCTAAGGCGTCTCAAAACTGGCCGTGCAGAGACCCCAGGGCAGAGCCGCAGAGGGGACTGGTCTCTGGGAACCACACTCCAGTGCTCCGTCCTAGTGGGTGCCTTCAGTCAGTTACTCCATGGTGTGTTTAAGCTTGTTTGGAGATTTCGGCTTCTGTCTGCTTGCGTAAGTATGTTTATACACACAGCAGCCCCCAGTATTTCAGGACGCTGAATTGGAGGACGTCTGGACGCCGGCTGTGCGCCAGGCACTGGCCCCATCAGGAAAGGAGCACGGTCCCGGGGCGGAAGGTCTCCCCTGGGCGCCCAGGACCTCGCTCTGCAACAGGCGGTTGCATGTCTGTCTTCCCACTGTGTCAGCTTAGCTCTCTTTGCGTCTGCAACGCTTAGCACATACCTAGCGCCTAACACGCACCTAGCAAATGCTTGTTGAATGCAGACAGACGCGCGGCTCCCAGGAGCTCCCGCTGAGGCGAATCTGCACAGAAGGGTGCTGATGGCGCCACACGGGTCCCAGCTGCTCGGGCCTCCCGGCTGGGGGTCCAGGCAGGGAGGCAGCACCCGCGGGGGTGGGAATGCAGGTGACAAGGAGAGTGGCTGCCTGCCACACACACACACACGGGTCTCCGCCCCCCCCACACACACACACACACGGGTCCCTTCCTTCGATTCCTGCCCAGCTGGTCCCAGCTGCCTGGGCCGCTGGGCAGGACGTGCAGCCGCAGGGGCACACGCAGGGACGGGCGTGTGGACACACCCAGCAGCACTCAGTGACCCGGCCTGGGAGAGCAACAGGATTGGGCGACTCCAGCCCAGGCGTCCTTAAACTACGGCCTGCAGGCCACATGCGGGTGTTTTTGCCCATTTGTTTTTGTACTTCAAAATAAGATATGTGCAGTGTGCATTGGAATTTGTTCATAGTTTTTTTTTAACTATAGTCTGGCCCTCCAGCGGTCTGAGGGATGGTGAACTGGCCCCTGTTTAAAAAGTTTGAGGACCCTGCTCCAGCCACTCCGTTCCGTGAGGCGTGAGGGCTGCGACCGTCTGTGTTCTGGAAATGCAAGTGCTGGGCTGACGTCATGAGAAAATGCTTTGATGGCAGAATGTGGCTCTCACACTGACCTTTGAACTCTGTCTGCTTGCCCTCCTTCAGGAGCCTGGCCGGTTCTCATAGACGACTTCGTAGAGTACGCGCGGCCAGTGGTCACCGGCGGGAAACGCAGAAATTTCTAGGCGGGCAGCGGAGCCGGGTCGAGATTGTAAAGTGGGCGGCACCTGCGCAGCCGCTTGAGGAGCAGGCCCCACCCCGGCCGGGCGCGGGGACCGGAGCAGCCATCCGTCCTGCGTCCTGCGTGCGGGCCGCGCCGCGAGAAGCTCCTCCGCAGATAGCTGCTTTGGGGTGCCTGGAGAGTGGTCTTCGTAGCTGCTGCGTTAGGAGACTCACGCATGAGTTTCACGTTTGCAGAGAGGTCGCAGGGCCCGTTTGCGGGCCGCAGAGCACGCCGCTCGGTTCGTGGTTTCAGGCGAACGCCAGCCGTTGGCAGAGCTCCTGCTGAGATCGCTGTACCGTCGCTCAGAGCAGATGTGTGTCCTCAGCGGGGTGTCGCGTGTTATGCAAGTGTAACGTGTGCCCTAAGGAAGATCTTGCCACAGAGTGCAGTGTTTTAAACTTGGTGCCAATAAGGAAAGATTTATATTTTTGAATTATCAAATATCTAGATTTGCCAGATCTATTTTTGTCTTCATTTTCTCTGGCTGTCTGTCTGAAAATCGTTTTATAGTTTTTAACACACGGCGGTGGCGCAGGGAGTGACCCCGGCAGGGCTTTGCTGTCGACTGTGCGCACGTCCGGGGCCTGTCTCGCTTCCAGGAATGTGATTTGAACTCCCGGAGCAGTTTCCTAGGGTATTTTTTTAATATATTTTATTACATTTAAAAAGATGTTTTTCCATGGAAAATCTTTCTTTTATGAGTGACGAATTATAGACTTAAAAATCGAGTGCATTGATTCCTGTCACCCATCTGTGACATCCACGGTGTCCGGCCCCCTGCCCTGCACAGCTGTGCACACCAGGGAGCCAAGACGTACATCGCTGCTGAGAAAAACCCCAAACCTTCATCGTGTCTGAGGACCGAGGTGTTCCCTTGCCCCGTGCCCGCCTGGTCCGGCCCGCTGTCGCCAGCCCCGGCGGGGACACCAGCCGTGCCAGCGTCTCTGGTGTGGGTTGTGGGCGTCACTGTGGCGACCCGACCTCACATCTGCCGAGACCTTCGCGTCACAAGCGCGCCCTGCTGCCCTGCCTGCGGCGGGTGGGAGCGCGGCCGGCTGCACGAGGAGGAGAGGCACTCGGGCACACTGCGCACAGAAAGCCACCCGGACCTGCAGCGTGACTGGCTTCCAGGCCGGGACTCGCTCCGTGCTTTGGCACGCGTCTCCTCTCGGCCTGCGTCTCGTGTGTGCTGCCACGGCGTGGACTGGTCATGCTTCCGAACGGGAATGTCACACGGGGCAGCAGGGCCTAGAGGACTGGACGGGGCTCGCAGCCTGGAGAGCCCAGCGCGGCCCAGGCCGGCTCTGCCGTGAAAGCCTGTGATACTCAGCGTTTGCTTAGTAGGGTAAAACCTCAGAAAGTCAAAGCATCTCCTCGGCTTTGTGGGCTCCTGATGGGGTTTTGTTCAGAGAAGTTTATAGAGCTCTGATAATCCTGTATAAATCATGGAGAGCTGCAATACTTTTTTATTTTTGAGATTCAGAGTTCTTCTGGGTTTTCAAGAGGTCTCAAAATATTAGTGATTGAACAAAGGCTGTTCGGAAAACGTGGTTTCTTTTTCTTCTGCGATACACATTTGAGTCATGCATGTTCTGAAACGCTAAGAACAGAAACATTAAAATAAATGGCTTCTCTGGTGTTGAGGTGTCCTTTTCATTCTCTTCTTGGCTGCATGGATACTCAGCCACCAGCTGTTGGGGGTCTTTGTCACGGGACTGCAGAAAAGCCCTCTCCGTGGCATCCAGTGAACAGGCTCTTTCCCACAGGCTCTGACCTGCCAGCCCTTAAGTCACATCCCAGACGGCTTCAGGATCTAGTTTCTGTATGCTGAAGATGGTTGTTCAGTGTGAGGAATTATAGATCTCACTATATGCAGAATTTACAGAGGAGCTGATGGGAATACACACCAGAATATACTAGTACAAAAATAAATATATTGAAAATAACAAATTAACTAAACATAGGAGCCTTAGGAAATTACATGTCACCTGTACCTTCGCAACATAGCTGCCAAGAATTTCCGGAACAGACTTCATCCTCTCTGTCTTAGCAACATAGTACATTCCATGGTATTTTAGCCTAGTAACAGTTTCAGTGCGATAAGACACTGCGTACATTTCAAATCTCGGGCTTCATGGGGGCAAGACGTCTAAATAAAGCGGCCATCCCTCACGCCTGGCTTCTGTCGTCTGGTCTGGGGGGAGCTCACGGCTGTACTGTTGGCGGGCTGTGTTCAGAATCTCAGAGGTGTGCTACCTGGAATAATAATGCTTAAGAACCTCACTGTCGGCCGGGCACGGTGGCTCACGCCTGTAATCCCAGCACTCTGGGAGGCCAAGGTGGGCGCATTGCTCGAGGTCAGAAGTTTGAAACAGCCTGAGCGAGACCCCGTCTCTACCAAAAATAGAAAGAAATTAATCGACCAACTAAAAATATATACAAAAAATTAGCCGGGCATGGTGGTGCATGCCTGTAGTCCCAGCTACTCAGGAGGCTGAGGCAGGAGGATTTGCTTGAGCCCAGGAGTTTGCGGTTGCTGTGAGCTAGGCTGACACCACGGCACTCACTCTAGCCTGGACAACAAAGTGAGACTCTCTCAAAAAAATAAAAGAACCTCAGTGTTAGCAAGTGCTGGTATAATGCCATGTTTATTTAAGTGCACCCTCCTATCTTTACTATCCAGCTGTATATTGAAGAACTTTCACTTCTGTGGGCTGCACTTCTTAAGTCCACGTGCAACTCCTTCCCACTCCCCCGTGTGGCTGAAGCCAGATCACGGAGCAGACGCTGCCTGCGGGCCAGGAGACGGCCTTCCGAACTTAGAGGGGCAGCCGGGCTTTCACATTCTGCTTAAGCCCAGCCTCTTCCTGTTTCCGAGCACCGTCTCCTGAAGCTGGAGGGATGCTCCGAGCGCCTTGAGCTCCGTGGCGGCCGGATCGCGGACTCCGCAAGGCAGCGTTGCTGTCTGGAGAGCTGCTGCTGCCAGCACTGAGCCGTGAGGGAGCCTCGCTTACGCTCTCCCACGCGGAGCGGCCTGTGCCTCTTCCCTTGGCACCTTTTACGTCTTCTATCACCAGCACACTTTACAATCGAAAGTGCAAGTTTTCTAAGAGCTAGAACTGCATGCCTGTAATGCCAGCACTCTGGGAGGCCAAGGCGGGCAGATCGCTCAAGGTCAGGAGTTCGAAACCAGCCTGAGCAAGAGCGAGACCCCATCTCTACTAAAGATAGAAAGGAATTAGCTGGACAACTAAAAAAATATATAAAAAATTAGCAGGGCATGGTGGCACATGCCTGTAGATCCAGTTACTCGGGAGGCAGAGGCAGGAGGATTGCTTGAGCCCAGGAGATTGAGGTTGCTGTGAGCTAGGCTGATGCCACGGCACTCACTCTAGCCTGGGCAACAAAGTGAGACTCTGTCTCAAAAGAAACAAAAACAAAAAAATAGCTAGAACTGCAGGCAGTGTGTGAACAGCAACGTCATGCCGAGTGAGGACGCCAGACACGACAGGCCACGTGATGTCTGTGGAATTCCTAGGAAATTTCCAAGTACACAGCAAGACAATGAGACACATCTATCTGATATTTCTAGAAAAGGCAGCACCGTAGAGACGGCAGGTGGGCCATGGCCTGGGGGAGGGGAGGGGACCCCGGTGGGGGCCGGTGGTGCGGGGGACACTGCAAAGAGCCACTGCTCTGTCAACACCCGAGAGGCTCTGAGAGCCGTCTGGAGCCAACGGCTCCTTTGCGGCGGGGCAGGGCTTTGCCTGCCAGAGCTGAGGGAAGCTGACACCTGCCACGTGGTGGCTCCAGCAGGGTCCTCTCATTGGTGCCACCTGCAGAGAGTGCAGCAGGGGGGGCAGCGCCTGGCCGTCAGAGGACACTCCTGACAGCCGCACAATGGCCACTATAAAAGCCAGCGGGGCGGGCTGAGGCGGCCAGGAAGGGACAAGGGCCCGCAGGCAGCTGTCATGGGGGAGCGGTTCCAGGCGGCCATGCTCCTGGGGGGCGTGGGCGACGCTCTCGGCTACAGAAACCTCTGCGCGGAGAACAGCGCGGTGGCGGGCTCGGAGGTCCAGGAGGAGCTGCGGCGTGGCGGGGGACTCGAGCAGCTCGTGCTCTCGCCAGGGAAGTGGCCAGTGAGTGACAACACCGTCATGCACATCGCCACCGCCCAGGCCCTCACCACAGGTAGGCGCGGCTGGCTGGCGCAGGTCCCTCCCGGCTCGGTGGGTGGCGGGGAGACCAGTGGCTGCCCCGGTTCTTGCAGGACGCCCCGAGAGCTTGGAAGGCGCCGTCTCTGGGCCGGTGGTGTTGCCTGACGCTGCTGCTAAAAGGGGTGATTTAATAGCCGCCGGCGTGGCCCAGATTAGACACGGGGCGCGCCAAGTTTCTCACGCCGTGTCTCTCTGGGAGACGCGTTGCTTTGCAGGTAGCTAAGATGCGATTTTTAGACGGTGACTTTTCGCTTCTGTTTGTGACGTGCTAGCAGAGCCTGGCACCTGTGTTTCTGGCAGGTCGAACCTACGGAGCCTCTTGCCCCAGAGCTGTGTGGGAGGCGGTAGGCAAGGGTGCCGCCTCCTGCTGCAGAGACCAGGCATGCTTGTTCCGAGTTCATCACACGTGGATATAAAACAATAAGCCAGCTCGAAACTCGGACCCATCGGGATACAATTATTTGGGAATCCCTTGTAAATTCCAGTGGATTAAGGTTAAAATGTCATCTACCAAAACGATTCAGCTTAGGTAGCTGCTTACACATGAATGTGTTCTAAGAAAGTGCTATAAAACTGATTGGATTCTGGAGGCGGGGGATGAAGATTCTTTAAATATTTTTTAAGCAGCAAATTGATGTTAGGATCAGCAAGTGTTTGCATGAATTTTAGGGAAGCAACTGCGCAAACAAACGTGGAGCAGCTCAGCTTTCCCACAAGTCATTTGCTCTTTAAAACCCCGTAGGCGTTGTTGGTTTGTCGTTGCAGAATTCAGATGGGAGGGCAGCTGCGCTCCGTGAGGTTTCTCCTGCGCGTTTGGGCTCACCCACCCGCCCCTGCCTGCCGCACACCGGGTTTAGCGCTGCGGTCACCACGCAGGAATGCGGCCGGCTGCGTGGCCGGCCCCTGAGTAACCAGGCCGCCAACCAGGCACGGTGATGATAAGATAGGGCCGCCTGGCCTGTCGGATGGTGACGCATGCGAGCCTGCCCGGGTACAGACCCAGATGTTTCCCATTCCTGGCGTTTTCAGGCAGATTCTTGGGTGCCTTGAGGTCTGCGGTTCCCGCAGCCCCCAGAACAGCCCGCCACGCCGGGGCCTGCGCAGCAGAGCTGTGGCGGGTTCTCCTGCACACACGGGCCTCGCAGTACACTCCCAAGCACGGCTCCTGTCCCTGGCCTGCCGCTGTGTGTGCACACGCACACGTGTCCACGTCTCCTCACGGGTGTCCCCGTCTCCGGTGGCCCCTCCACGAGCATTCTGTGGGCACGGAGCCCGGGGCTGCGTGTCTGGGGCCGCGTGACCGCCCAGGCGGGCGGGCGCCTGGCATGGGTGGGCGCTCGGTGCTGAGACACGGCGTGCCAGGCGGGACAGATGGGACACGGCGCCCCACGAGGAAGGGGCAGCGCCTTTGGGGCATTGTTCTGTTGGTGAGGAGGAGAGTGAGTCCCTTCCGAGCGCGCAAGCGGGTGCAGGGCTCAGATGCGGAGGGGAGGGGTCGGCTGCCCTGTTCGGCCTCCGGTTTGCGGGTCAGAGGTCCTGTGCCCTGGAAGGTCGCCCTTACTTCCCTCGCTCCAGGGATGGAGCAGCATGTGTCGAACTCGCCGGAACTCAAAGTGGAAATTTTATTTTTCCTTTAAATAACAGTTGTAGGTCAGGCGCGGTGGCTCACGCCTGTAATGCCAGTACTCTGGGAGGCGGAGGCGGGCGGATCGCTCGAGGTCAGGAGTTCAAAACCAGCCTGAGTAAGAGCGAGACCCCGTCTCTGCTATAAATAGAAAGAAATTAATGGGCCAACTAATATATATAGAAAAAATTAGCCAGGCATAGTGGCGCATGTCTGTAGTTCCAGCTACTCGGGAGGCTGAGGCAGGAGGATTGCTTGAGCCCAGGAGTTTGAGGTTGCTGTGAGCTAGGCTGACGCCACGGCACTCTAGCCTGGGCAACAAAGCGAGACTGTCTCAAAAAATAAAAATAAAAAACAGTTGTAGCCCAGAGAAAGGGGTCTTTGAGCCACTCGGGTGATGGTGAGAGCCCCATCTCCGTGGCGTGTGCTCACGTCTGATCCTCCGCAGTGTCTGGCTCACATACCCTGAGGGCCGACGCCATCGCCCCGTTCTGCAGAGGAGGGACCAGCCCGCAGAGAGGCTGCATCACCTGCCCGAGGCCATGCAGCCCGCGAGTGGCAGAGAGTCCTGTGGCCCCCACGGTCAGGCCTGGAGCCGCCTTGCGTTCCCGGCCCCTGAGGTCGCCGTGGGCTTTGGAGTGCACAGCGGCTCTCCAGCCTGTCTTCCAGAGACTGGCAGGCCCAGGCAAAACGCACGTTTAAGCCGCACTCCTGAGTCCCTCAGCCCGCCAGCCCCTGGGCCTGTGCCAGAGACAGCGTCCGTGGGAGGCTGTCGCGGCCATAGGGCACCTGCTTGGGGGCGTGTGGGGTACTGAGTGGGAAACAGCGGCGTCATGCATTCTACGGGGCGTGTAGCCACGAGGTATATATAGCTGCAAGCAGGGCACCGTGTCATCGCGTCACTCGCAAGCACTCAGCAAACACCTGCTGTCCTCAGGGTCCTCACACAGCGCTGGTGCCGTGGGCAGTCTCTGTCCCCACCCCCCTTGCTGGCCCGAGCTCTGGGGAGGGGCCCCGCTGAGCCCACCCCTCACAGGCCCTGAGAGGATTGATGGGGCAGCCCAAGTACAGCGGGAGGAAGCTCCCTGCGAGCGGAGGCGGGGCGGTGGCTCACAGTTAACGTGTGTCCACCACCATCTCCAGCGGCTGGGGGTCTGCAGCCCTGATGGTCGCTGGGAGCGGAGCAGCATTGAGCTCCAGCAGCACAAGGGCAGGCCGGCTGGGGGGCCACCCAGCCCGGCTGCCCCTTCTTCCCTGGGCCGCCCTGGGCGCTAGCGGAGCGTGGGCTGCGCAGCCGCCAACATCTGACGCAGTTGGCGTTTGCTACAAGCTACCTTGATGCTGGCATTTTGCCTTTTCTTTACTACGATGTCAGCTGGGAGACTCGCCGGTTTGTCTTTTAGGACAGCGGTCCCCAAACTTTTTGGGACCAGGGACTGGTTCCATGGAAGACGGTTTTTCTGCGAATGGCGGTGCGGTGGGGGTGGCGGGGCCCTGTGCCCCCCGCCCCGGTTCCAAGCCAGGCAGCTGAGTCGCAAAGTAGAGAAACCTGGGGCCGGCCAGAGACTCGGCAGCTTTGAAAATCTGTTCCTAGTTTGAACTCTAAACGGAGAGACAGGCTTTTTGCTGCCATGTTGTTTTTATGGATTTGGGGAGTTTTTTGCTTTGAAAAGGCTAAATTTCCATTAAACACAGACATTTCATGGTATCTGATTCCAGCATGAAATGAAGTATTTTAGGGGCCCAGGAAGAGCCCGGCTTGAGCTAAGAAAGGCTGTTTGTGAACCAATGGCGCCGGCAACAGAGCCGCCACGCGGTGGGCCTGAGAGAGCTGGGCACAGCCGCGTGGGCGCAGCCCCAGCCAGAGCTGCCGTGTGCACAGTCCTGCTGCCACGCCCCTGTGGCCTGCAGGGTCCTCTCTGCCACACGGGCTCTCGGTCCCTCCCCTCCTCCCCGACTCAGAGCGGGGCCCTGGGCCTCCCTGGCCTGCTGGCAGGGATCTCCCCAAGCCAGACTGGGGAGTGGGAGGAGGGACCACACTCCACCATCTCCGGGCACTTGCCGTGGAGGATTGCGAGTTTGTCATGTGCCTCTCCCTAGTCTCTGCAGCCTTCCCCACCCCGTGTCAGGACGCCGGCTCCGGTGGGGCCCGAGAAGGTCTCTGGGCTCTCAGTGCTCACCACGCCCACAGGCGGGCGTCACTGCCCAGGAAACACTGGCCACGGTCATCCCCTGGGTGCGATTCCAGGGCAGGGCAAACACGTGCTGTGGGAGGGGCACCCTCATCTGCCCCTGGCCACAGCCCTGTCCCCCACCCCGCTGACCAGGCATCTGGGACTCCAGCTCTGAGGACGCGTGGACCCCACCCGCCACGCCTGGGCTCACGATGGCAGAACACGCAGGCTTCGCAGTCAGAACGCAGGTGCCAGCCCTGGCCGTTGGCGAGACGCGCCGTCTCACGGGCTCATCCGGGGAACTCGGGGATCGGAGCCCAGTGCCGCTGCCGGGAGGATTCTGTTCCGGCGTCTCGGGGGCAGATGGTCCACGCAGTGCGGGCGGCAGGCGTGTGCCGGCTCCTCCCCGTCTCTGCCCTGTGGTCTCTGGGAGCTAGAGCCCACACCTGTCCCCGGGGCGCTTGCGTGGGGCCAGGGACGCTGACTGGCCACGGCTGTCCATGCCACGCACAGGTCCCCACAGGAGAGGGGCTGGAGGGGGGGCAGAGTCAGGCTCTGTCACCTCAGACCCGGCCGCTTCCCCGGCCCAAGATTTCAGCTCGGGATAGAACGACCAGTAGACAGTGAGGCTGTGTCTTCTCTACATTCTCGCGTGTCACTAGGATGATAAGCATGTAACAAGCCGTGATGTCCGAAATCAGAGTGAAATCGCGTGCACTGTCTCCGTGTGCAGTCTCTCCGGGTAGCCGGGGTGTGTCAGAGGCACCGGCAGCGTCTTTCTCTGCTTCCCTGGAAACACCTGCCCCATGCGCAGAGAGGGCTGCCGAGGGGGCTCCCCGCGCTCGGAGCCTGCCTGGGGCCTGCCCGACCCGCAACCCGGGAGGAGGGGGCCGCGACACTCTCTGGCGGGCTCTGACGCGGCTCTGCCTGCTCTCTCCTCCCAGACTACTGGTGCCTGGATGACCTGTACCGCGAGATGGTGCGGAGATACGTGGACGTCGTCGAGAAGCTTCCAGAACGCCGGCCAGACCCGGCCACCGTGGAAGGCTGCTCCCAGCTGAAGCCGGACAACTACCTGCTCGCCTGGCACACGCCCTTCAACGAAAAGGGTCAGGGAAGTCCCCTCTGCTCCCCTGAAGCTGCCCTGCTGGGGTCGGCGGACACTAACCCCTCTGTCCTTCCCACTAACCCGCCGGCAGCTCCGGTCTGCCCGAGACAGCGCCCACCACGGCGTCTGTTTCTAGTCCACCGGGCTCCTCCACGGGGCTTGGGGATCCATTCCTGGTTTATTGTAAGGAATTTTTTCCCTTGCTTCCCTTTTTTTTTTTTTTTTTGAGACAGAGGCTCACTTTGTATGCTCAGGCTAAGTGAGAGGCCAGTGGCTCAACCTAGCTCACAGCAACCTCAACTCCTGGGCTCAGGCGAATCTTGCTGCCTCAGCACTCCCGTGTAGCTAGGACTACAGGCATGCGCCACCACACCCGGCTAATTTTTTCTAGTAATAATAGTAGTTGCGCCATATTAATTCTTTCTATTTAGTAGTAGAGCGAGGTCCTCACTCCATTGCTAGCTGGTTTTGAACTCCTACCTCGAGCGATTCCACCCCCGCGGTCTCCAGAGTGCTAGGATTACAGGTGTGAGCTCTCCCCCGGCCCTGCTTTCCCTTTAAGTCTGTCTTCTTTGCTGTGACATGAAGAAAAACTTGCGCTGCCTGCATGCCGTGCTCCGGTGCTTCGCTTATGTCCATGGTGGGGCCAAGGTTTAGGCAGCCGCAGGCTCTGCCCCAAAGAGCCTCCACGCCCCTGCGCTCACCTATGAAGAAGGTGCGGGATAAACGTAAAGGGTTGGAAGACCCAGGTCACAGGCAGAGGCTGTCGGATCAGATGTGGAAGCCCGTCCCAACCAAATGCCACTTACAGGAAACACACTTTAAATATAAAGGCACACATGGGCTCAAAGTAAGAAATATGGGAAAAGATGTTTAAAAACGGACCTGTGGTCCAGCCACACAGGAGGCTGAGGCGGGAGGGTTGCTTGAGGCCAGGAGTTCAAGACTAGTCTGGGTGATATGGCAAGACCCTGTCTCAAAAAAAAAAAAAAAAAAAATTAAGTAAGTGCAGATTAACCCCAAAGAAAACATGCTAGAGGAAATAATGAAGATCAGAGTAGAAATCAATGAGGAAAAGAGAAAAAATAAACAGAAAAAAAATCAATGAAACCAAAAGCTGGTTCTTAAGACAAACAAAAAAGTCGATCGTCCTCTAGCTTGACCACTCGGGAAAAAAAGGAGACACAAATGTCCAGTTTGAACAAACTGGACACTGATTATTTATAGAAATCACTGTTTATTTACAGAAATGAAAAGGAAAATGAGGGAATATCATTAACAATTGTATGCCAATGACTTTAACAACCCAGGTGACAGGGATAAATCCCTGGAAAGACACAGCCTGCCGAAGGTCACTGAGAGGAAATGGGTGATCAACAATCTCACAGACGAGACGACAAAGAAACGCTGGGCCCGGAGGCCTCGCCGGGCACTCGACCAAACACTTGAGGAATGACTAGCACGGGTCACAGACGGCTCTTCTGAAAAATCGAAGAGCAGGGCGGCTTTCCGGATTCACCCTTCTGCTCTCCAGAACCCGTTTGTGAGGGAAGCGGCGAGGCCAGGCTGGGAGGGGACACAGGCATCTGAGGAGGGACGTCACTCCAGGGGTGCAGAGAACTCTTACAGCTCGAGGACAGCAAGCAACCCGTGTGAAGACGGGCAAGAGACTCGAACAGGCACCTCACGGAGGAGACCTGCACATGCAGCTAAGCACAGAACGTGCCCAGCACCCTTTGTCATCGGAAAAACGCAGGTGAAACCACAGGGAGACACCACTCCAGACCGAATGCAGAGGCTGAGATTGAAAGACCGACCACGTTCCCAGGACGTGGAGGGTCTGCTGGAGGGGCGTCCGACGGCACAACCAGTCCGGAATCCATTTGGCGGTTCCTCGAAAGGTTCACCATTCGTGGCCACCTGGCCCAGAGTGGACCCACCACTAGGCATCCACCCAGGAGGAAAGAGAGCTGATGTCCAACACAGACCTGGTCACTGCGTGTGCGTAGCCCAGACTGGGAACAGCCCAGGCGTCCACCCACAGCCACGTGGTGACGCAGCCGTGGCACGTTCACGCCGCGGGCACCGTCCGGCAACGGCAAGGAGCGCACTGTCGAGACTGCGGCCAGGGCGCCGCCCATAACAGCTGCGCCACGTGACAGGAGCCAGGCAGACAACACTGACGGCAGCAGTACATCTGTATGACTCCATTTATGTATTCATGTGTTTATTTTTGAGACAGGGTCTCACTCTGTCACCCACGCAGGAGAACAGTGGCATCAGCCTAGCTCACTGCAGCCTCCAACTCCTGGGCTCAAGGGATCCTTCTGCCTCAGCCTCCTGAGTAGCTGGGACTACAGGTGCACCCCAAGCTTCTCACCTATTCTTGCCCAGGCTTGGTTCTTCAACTCCTGCGGGCCTCAAACGCCCCGACCCTCCTACCTCAGCCTCCCCCACCAGAGGGCTCGCCGGATTGTAGCGTGTTGCGCCACTGCTGCCTAGCGCCCTGCTGTCGATTCCATTCTATATAAACTCTACAAAGCTGGCCAACTAATCTGCAGCCCTGTCCTTCGCGGGCGCCTGCACGGGAAGGAGCCCAGAGGACAGATTCAGCACAGGACAGCCCTGGCAGAGGCCAGCCGCGCAGTTGGCTCACGGCCTGCTTCAATCCTACGCCCCCACTCTGGCGAGGCCGAGGCGCGTCCGGTGGATCACTCAGGTCAGGAGTTTTCAAAACCAGCCCACAGGTTGGACACTCCCGTCTCCTACTAAAAATTTAGAACAGGAATTTAATTGGCCAACTAATATATATAAGCCGGCGCGCCGCGTGGCTCACTTCCTGTAATCCTAAGCTCTCTGGAGGCCTAGCGGCGGGGTGCGATTCCTTTGCAGCCTCAGCGACAGCTTCAAGCACCCAGCCTGGAGCCAACGAGCGAGAACCCCCGTCTCTACTAAACACAAAACAAACCAACAACAACCAAAACGTTAATGCCAACTGAATAGAAAAAAAATAAAGCAAATAATAAAAAACCCTACGCCAGCCTATATATAGACAAATTAGCCACGGCGTCGCGTCGCGCCCCACATGCCCTGTAGTCCCACGCTACTTGGGCAGGATGAGGCAGCCGAGCGATTGCCCTTTGCCAGCCCAGGCGAGTCTGACGGGTTGCTGTGAGCCCTAGGCCTGACGCCACGGCACCGCACTCTAGCCTCGGGCAACACACGCAAAC